CGGCGTTAGTGAGCCTTGACCGAGACGCACGGGTTACGGCCGTCATGCCGGAGACCGTATCGCAAATTAACGACGTTTGAACAGCCGCTGGCACGAAGGGGGGCGCGGGCGAACCTTCCGCCTCAGAGCGATCGCGCAGCGTTGTGAGAAAACCAGCCTTGTCTGCGTTGCTGCTTGAAAAGAAACCACGAAGCTGAACCTCCAAATGCTGTTTTTAGTGGGGGGATTTGTTCCACCTTAGAGAAGAGGGAACCGTGCGCGTGGCGTGTAAGTTACAGCTAGAAAGTTCTGAGGGGCCCGATCCGTCTGTCACAGGGATGTTCCTCTCCAGCAGCCCCCCCATCCCCCAGGGAAAGCCGGGGCTGGAGCTGCTCTGCCAGACTTTTTGGAAAACTGTTTTAACAAATACCTGACTTGAAGCACTGACTGTTTAAAGTCTCTTACGCGCTCAAAGGCATTCAGCAACAACAGATACCCCTCAAAACACAACATTTCACGCGTGAAGACAGTTCAGCGTATTTTTCTCCACAGTCATTGCAGGTTACAGTGCTGAAAGTATCAAGACAGTGCAGTGCCTTTTCCTTGTATGTCTCAATACCTCTTACTTACCAGCTTTTTCTTTTAGAATACTTAACATGCTGCAACGAGACTTAGATCAGGGGTCCTTTCATAATTTCTGTAATGTTCCTTTGGCAGCTTAGTATGTAAATTGGTAGATAATGACAGAAGAGAAGCCATCATCTGTCAGTTACATTTTTTTCCAGTACAGCTGTCAGGGATGCTTGCTTGCTGGCCCTTACAAGTTGCTTCCCCGCCTCTCCTTCTATGAGAGGAAAACAGTAAATTCACAGCATGGAAGGAGCACATATTTCAGATACTGATACTGTAAGAAACTGTGTGCAGCATTGTGGGATTACACAGCCTATATAAACAATGAGGCTGATTATCTTAATTGAAAAAAGCTGTTACTCCTCAGTGTCTGGTACCAATCCTCCATAAAAACAGAAGTGCAATCCTTCAGAAATTTACAACTCAGAGCACAGATTTACATTTGCAAGAGAGCAGAGATACACATAAATCACTGTACATCTTCCCATTCCTGCATCAATGATTTCAAATTACGGTTTCCTATGAAGTATGACACAATTACGTGAGGCCATACATTGTAGTGTGGCGAGTATTGAAAATCAAATACAAATTCTCTGCAGTGGTCAGTAACCTTAGTTCCCACCTCCTGATGTTAGTTAAACCCTAGTTTGCTAAGTCATATCAATCTGATTTGAACATATTTAATGTTAGCTGTGGTTTAAAAAACAAAACATGACCCTATCACCTTTCAGGCCAAAAGCAATGACAAGCTTTGATGATTTTACTAATCCCATTCTAACCTTCAGCTAAAGAAAAAAAAACCCCACAACTTCAAAATGCACACTATAAGGTCTTAAAATATTACTGTGCTTGGCTTTCCTTTAAAAAAAAAATTAAAAAATCAACATTAACAACCAAGGTGTTAATGCATTTTAAGAATATAATATATCTAGGTTATGTTGTAGGGTTCATTAGAGCAGGAGTATTTAGATAGCCACCTCATGCACAACTGTGTGCATCAACTTGACACTGTGATATAAACCATGCAGTGTGGGAAAGAATTAAATGGATGCTGATGGCATTATTTTATCCAGAAAGACAACTCTGTAGTAAATAAAGGGCTGCATTACCCTTTGCTGGACATGGACCAGAAAAAGCACACAATTAAGACTAATCTCATATGCAAAACTTCTAAAACTTTAATACTTGTTAATTCACCTCTGAACACTTAGACATACTTAGCATGAATACACTTCAATGAAAATGGAAAAACTGGTAACTAGCATTTTCAGCCTCTGATGAGAAAAGAGTAAGAGGCGTGAGAAATCACAGTACATTTTCAAAAGCAAAAAATATTTGCAGCTTCAAGTTATTCAACAGGTAATGTATTTTTGTAAATATTGTCGCATAACTACAGCATTTAAATCACCTAATAAATTTAAATATCGCCACCTTGATGTGTCTACAGTAGACACTCAAAACATGAACTTTTTATTGTAATCGCTAAAAGTATCTCTGTTCTCAAATACTAACTACAGACAGTTTGCTAAGGCTGTGTGTGTCACCCCACTCACCCATGGCAGTGGTACATTAAAATACGGATTAGATATTTACTAATAATTAGCACTAAGTTGAGGTAACAGGTAAGAAAAACAGTAGCATCAGCATACTGTTTACTAATTGGCATTTGCTATCAGACCATAAAAAACAGATACTGGTTTATGATCTTAGTTTACATTTGGGCAACGGTATAAATTAGAAAACTTCAATTTGGAAAAAATTCTACATTCAAGAGATACTACCTCTAAACTCTTCAAAATGACAGTCTTAGTAGTCCTGTTAGTCATTTTAAGATACACATACAATTTCTACAGTTTGGGAAATAAATTGTTTCCTCCAAAGCTGCCTCAAGATGTTTTCTACTAGAAGCAGAGGAAATGAACATTTAACTGAAAAATAAAACGGACATGGTAGAGAAGACTCAGGCAAGGGAAAGCATTACTAATTCCTCTACTGATTTTCAGTTTGGGTGGCAGGGAGGAAAGAGGCAATTTAAATAACAGGGTTTCAGAACACATGGTACAAACTGGTAGCTCTCAGGTTGATCCCTGGTTTAGTATTCATGTTACACAATTTCTATATAGGTTGTTCGTTTTTTTTTCCTTAGGAATTGACAGACCTATGCTCCCAGGTGTCTGCTTTACCAGATTGCTATTCAGCAAATTCTGGAGGTGTCTCTTGTCTTCTTCCACACAGGTTACCAGAACGATCTTTTTTCTTCTGCTCTTTCCCAGGTGCGTTTCAGAAGATACACTGCAGCATGAAGTCCCCCTACATTCACCCATACAGTCTGACCTTTGCGCCAGATGTGTCCCATTCGTGACAAGGCCTACAATCCAAAAAACAGCCAAAGAATGGTGGCGGCTTCAAGATAAGATAATACAGGTAAGTTTGCTTTAGAAATTATTTTTTGTTACTCTAAATCACGTTTGCTGGCAATGCCAAATGACTCTTCAGGTCCAAAACTGCATTAAATGTTACTGATTATTGCTCTAAAAATAGATCATCTTCTGTAATGAAGTCCACTTACAATTTTTTCCTCAATACATTTTAAAGTGTAAATAGGTTTGATTTTCTCTCCCAGAACATACCTTGGCAAAGCATTTCTTGTCCTGTGTAAGCAGCGCAGCCCTGCCTGTCCCCGGAGTGCAGATCCGGCCCATCTCCATAAGGCAGGCTGGATAGAGATCCCAGTTCTTCTTCTTTGACCCTATCCTGCAAAATAAATTAAGATCCCCTTTGTGATCATTGAAAAATAGCTAACTGTTTTTGGTCTTTCAGACATGGATTAGCTCATTCAGGACCACATTTACTATTAATTTCGACCCGCGTTTTTAATACAGAGTACATCAATACTTCTTAATTAGGCCCAGTTAAGTAACTGACTAGAAAGAACCCTAACCTTGGACAGGCAAGCACAGGCAGTAGTGGCAGTTAAGCACAGTAACTTTACCAGTGATACCTCACCTCTTTCCAAATGGCATGTCTGTCACAATAACGTCCACAGAACCGGTCCGCAAAGGGAGATTGCAAATATCCCACTGAATGATGTCTAAGGGTATCCCCGGGGAAGTACTGCTGCAAGTGCAAAGACCTTTATCTCAGACACGGTTTACTGAGAGTATTTTTAAACTGAGGAGGTCTATACTGTTAGCAAAAGAATAAATAGGCAAATGAGAACACAACAGTCAAATGCATCAATGCAAAATGGATTTCTTTACATACAATACTATGGGAAAAGAAAGTAGCTTGTACTCTTCTCACCTTTCCTTATTCTCATTTTTCTTTAGTAAAGAACAGATGTTGTTTGCTGCTCTCTTTACAGCTTGTGGGTTGTTATCACCAGCAATATGGTAGCAGCTAGGCCATTCTGTAGCTCCCTGGGGGGGAAATACTGCTAATAAGCAACATTAGCACCAACATTGCTTAATTTAAAACAAACAAAAGAATTACTCAAATATGACAGAGTACCACAAAGCAACTGGAAGTGGATGTCAACGATTTTTAAATTCTGTAACAGATACCTATTATAGGTATTATGCACCTTAAAAGCTCAGAATACTTTTGGATTTTGTTTCTTCCTGCTACAGCTTTGGGAAGGAAAATTAGGTCATTTACCAAAAGTGTACTTACATCTGTTTAAAAGTTGGTGAGATACTTTTGGAGTTCACTATTCAGTTATTACCATGAGAACTTACTCATATTATTCAGTTGCAGATACTGTCAAGTTTTACAAAGTTAAAAAATAAAGGAAGAATCACCTCTATTGGTATTGCACCTGTACCACACATGGGATCGACTATGATATCCGTTGGCTGTGGATCACAGAGTCTGAGGAACCGAAGAAAAGATACAGCGAGAAAAGTCTTTAAAATGTGAATTTCTGTAAGGAAGGAAAACTCAACTATTTTAATCACTCTGAGTCTACCCTTCTAACAACAAAACTTCTATATGATTATTTTTTCCTTTCATTAATTAGCATTTCATAAGCAGCAATACAGTGAAATACTTTCAAGAATGAGATACAGTATTTTGAAAATTGGCTAACTCATCAAACATTTACTTAGCTGAAAAACATCCACTGTTAATTACAAAGCACACTGTTTCAGCAACTATGCTTTTTTTTTCCTCTCTTCCTTTTTTAAGAATTAACAGAAATGGCTTTTGAGGAAGCAAGGGGGTAAAGGATCTACTTTCTGAAAACAAAAAAAACCCCCCACAACAAAGAGACTTGTTAACTGAGAATAATATAATACTATACAATCGCACTGACCTAAGCATGCCATAAGCGAGAGTTGAACGAAGAGTTGTGGGTCCAAAATGTGTAATATTTCTTCTGTGAAGACTCTCTTCAGTTAATGCAATACCCACAACTACTTCATTATTGTGAATATTCAGAAGAACCTAAAGAAAAAAACTTGAACTAAATTTCAAGGGTAACAGAAGTTTTCCATAGTATGCCTGGTAAATAGTTATGAGAATCTTCAATGGTAATTTTAAAAACAGGCACTATGTATAAAAGAGCATCCCTGGAAGAAAAGCAATGCACCATTTTAATGGTAACATTGGGCAAAATTCAGGACAGCATTCACATGTTTTCTCATTCACACAGAACGAGAACAAGCAAGTTCTCATTCACACAGAATCTTTTACACAAGACTTGAAAGTACTATAACCATTATGCTGACTTTTAAGAAGTTTTGTTTTGTAAGCATGGGAGAGAAGTCCGGTAAGTCCTGAAAGTTACAGTGAAGCATTTGCAAAGCAGCAATAAAAATCATATTCCTGGTCCCCTCCACCATATTAATTTGGAAGGTGAAAACATTGTTATAAAACAGTGGGCCAGCCCTTCATAGACTTGCAAGAAAAACTTAGTTCTCCTGCCCCTCAAAAATGGTGGTCCTGCACCACTGATGGACCAGGTCTGTTGGTCATCCTTTGCAAATCTCTGCTTTCCCTA